CCTCTTCCCTCCTCCTCGTTTATTGCCCCTCCTGGGGGGATTTATTGGGGGGGACTATAAATTAGTTTGGAAGTGGGGGGTGTCTCCAGCATGGCCGGCCACTGGTGTCCTCATAGGGGACACTGCTGACTCCCCCCACCCCAAAATGCGGGATCCAACAAGGCCGGGGTCAGCAATATTCCGAGTAATCCTCCTCCACGTAGTTCGCCGGGAACCAGCCAACCTGGAAAGGACACGGGGACACATTGAAGGGGGGGCTGTCCGGGGGGGTCCCCAGCATTCTGGGGGGACATGGGGAGGTGGGGGGTCCCTACCCGCCCGTAGATCTCCCCTTTCCACCAGCCCGGGTGGCCCTTCTTGCTGAGGATGCGGATGACGTCGCCCTCCTTGAGCGTCAGCTCCGTGCGGTCCCGCGCGCAGAAGTCGTAGCGGACCTTGGCGGAGCCGAAGTAGCGCACGGCGCCTGCGGCGGGGACATGGAGGGGACAAGGGAGCTGCCAGGTCGACCCTCTCGGCCCATCCCTGCTCCTTCTCTACCTGTCGTCTTCGGTTCTGTCCCATGCGGCCCGTACCATGGCCACCCCTCCTTAACACGATCCTTCAGACTTGGTCCCCTTGGCCCCTTCCTTGGGCCATCCCTTGGCCGTTGACCTCAACCCTTCCTTTTTGGGCCATATCTTGGTCATCACCCTGGACCTGTCTCTCTGGGTCCATTCCTTGGCCCATCCCTTGACCATTCCCTTCAACTCATCTCTCTCAGCCCATCCCTTAATGGTCTCTATACCCCCATCTCTTGCCTGTCTCCTTGACCATCTCCTCGCGTTGACTCGTTCATTCCTGTCGATCCGTTCTCAGCTGATCCTCCTGCTCGATTGTCTTGAGCCATCCCTTGACCATCCCACCTCGGCCAATGCCCTTGGACCCCATGACACGTCCCTTGCAGCCCAACCCTCGACCATTCCCTGTTGGCCGCTTGTCCCACCGAGCTCTTCCAGGACATCCTGAGACAAGAGCTGAGGCCACCACCTCCACCCTCACCACCCTTCAGGTGCCACCCCATGGACCCTACCAGGTGGCCGGGGGCTGGCCCGGTGCTCGGGCTCCTTGAAGGGGAACTGCAGGACCGTGTCAAGGGCTTTGAAGCAGTCCTTGAGCGAGTTGCGCTGGTAGAACTCCACCAGCTCCTGGGGACCAAGCAGGGGAGGCACCAGGGTCACCAGCAGCCCCAGCGTGGGCCAGGAGGTTCCTCCCAGAGGGAACCAGGACATCCAGGATGGAAAAGGAGCTCCCCGCTCACCACCAGCCCCTTGAAGGCCTTCTTCTCCGTGATGCGGTAGAGCCCCTCCGCCGTCATCACCTTGATGTGTTTGATCTCCGCGCGGTACCTGGGCGCGGGGACGGCAAGGGCGGGCGCTCAGGCTGTGATTGTCCCCGCCGTGTCCCCCAGGGACGTCCCCCACCGCTCCCACGGGCGTTACTTGATGCTGATGGCGAACTCGCCGGCGTCCTTCACCCGCTGCCGCACCAGGAAGGTGCCGTCCGAGCGGGGCGTCAGCAGCTGCTCGGCCTCCCCGCGTTCCATGGGGCCTGCGTACCTGGGGGGCACAGGGTGAAGTGGGGGGCTGAGCCCCCAACCCACCCCCCTAGCCCCATATGGGGGATTTGGGAGGTCCTGGAGAGAAGGGGGCCCCATGGGAGGCTTGGTGGGACCTTGGGAGCCAAGGGGTGACATCAGGGGAGGACCTGGGGGGAGGTCTGGGAGCTGTGGGGAGGCCCAAGGGGAATGGGAGATCTTGGGGGGGCTATAGATCTGGGGGAGCTCCAAGGAGACCCCCCAAGGGCTGAGGGAATCATAGGAGGGATATGGTGACTGGGGAGAGGATTTTGGGGGGGTGGGCACCAACAAGAGGGAAGAGGAGACCCCAGGGAGGACCTGGGGAGGTCCCAGGACCCATGGGGAGACCCTGGAAGGGCTGGTGGGGACCCGGGGAAGGATTTAGGGGGCTCCTGGAGCAATGGGAAACCCCCAGGAGGGATGGGGAGACCCAGGGGAGGATTTAGGGGACTCAGTTTTGGGGTGATCCCGGGAGGGAAAGGGGGACCAGGGGAGAGTTGGGAGGGGATGAGGAATGGGGCAACTCCAGGGAAGGGTTTGGGGCCCCAGCACTGACCAGAGGTAGACGGAGAGATCCGGGAGCGGCGTCTGGGGACAAGAGAAGCAGAGCTGGGGGGTCAGAGCTGGGTCCCCCCACCACAGGGTCCCTCCCATCCCCGCTGTGACCCAGGGACAGCCCCATGGTCCCCAGGTCCCTCCAGCGGGATGCAGCGTCCTCCCCCCAGGGCATTTCGGGATGTCCCCCCATGGGGTGGCTACTCACGCAGACGTAGGGCCGGACGGCCGAGCAGGGGAACCAGCCGGACTCGCCGGTGGCCGCGTTCCTACCCTGGGGACAAAGCATCGTGACACCATGTCCCCCCACACCACCGCTCCTGCGGGACCGGCCAGGCATGACCAAGAGGGTCCTCATGGTCCCAGCAAGGCCATGGGGCAGCCCAACCCTGCTGCTGGTCCAGCATGGACGTGGAGGGCGGCTGTCCCTGTGGTGGGACCTGCCTGGAATGGTCGTGGCGAGGGGCAGGATGTCCCCATGACGGGGATCTGCCCGGGATGGCCATGGCGAGGGGCAGGATGTCCCCATGATGAGGACTTGCCTGCGATGGCCATGAAGGTACAAGATGGCCCCATCATGGGTTCCAGCCTGGCATAGGCATGAGGGTCCTGGAGGTCCCCACCATTATGGGGGTCCGGCCTGGCCAAAAGGGTCTAGGATGTCCCCATCATGGGGTCCAGGTGGGGATGGCCATGAGGGTCCTAGATGTCCCCATCACCATGGGCGTCTGGCCTGGGATGGCCAAAAGGGTCTAGGATGTCCCCATCACAGGGTCCAGTTTGGCATGGCCATGAGGGTCCTGGATGTCCCCATCATGGAGGTCTGGCCTGGGATCACTATGAGGGTCCAGGCTGTCCCTATCATGGGGTTCCAGTCCAGCATGGCCCCCAGGGTCCATCCCCACCACGATGATCCCCCTTACCTGCCACCAGAGCTGCTCGACCTCCGCCCTCGTCACCTCCACGATGTCCCCGGGGCTGAGGCGCAAGGGCGGCCCCATGTTCCCCGGGGGCGGGGGGATGCCGCTATAGGGCTGGTTCGCCTCCATCTTGGGCAGTCCTGATGAGGAAGGGTCCCAGATGTCCAGGTCACGCATCCGTCCCCCACAACCACCCGTCCTTCAGAATGGGACCTGCCACCCCCGTCCTGGGCAAGCTGGACCCCTAAGGCCACCCCTGGCCCATGGCTCCTCTTGGCCTCACCCCACTCAGGCCTTGACCAACCCAAACTTGACCCACCAGTCCTTGGCCCACCCTGGGCTCCATCTGTCCCTCAGCTCACCCAGGGCTCGACCCAACCAAGTCCTGACCCATTCTTTGGTCCACGTTGGCCTCCACCAACCCAGTCCTTGGCCCACCCAGGTCACAACCACGGGCTCAGGTGTCCGGGACACCCACACTCACCCAGGTCCCCCCGCTTCTTCTCAGGGCCCGGCCTCTGCAGCTTGTTCTGGGGAAAAGCCAGAGGCTGATGAACCTCCTGGAGGAGGCAGCGACCCTCCTGGAGGAGGGAAATGTGGGGCATTTTCACCCCTTTTAACCCCTCTGGCTGTTACCTTTCTGGCTGCAGTTGAATCTGTTAAAAAGACAGGAAAAGCTCGTTAAAAGCTCATTAGTTAAGGGGCTACTTCAATTGGCCCTGATTAACACCTGGCCCTCATGAGGCCCATCTCGATACATGGTTGGGGGCTGCTGCTCGTTGGCTTCGTTAGCTGAAACTGCCAAGGGCATCCCACAATGCCCTGCTCCCCCATGGCCAAGGGCATCCCGCCATCCCCGCTCCCCGTCCCACAATGCCCCGCTCACCATGGCCGCTCTTGCCGCAAGGCCCCACGCGCCCCAGACACTCCTTGTGGGCCGGGGTCCGGCACCGGCTGCACCGAGAGCCCTGGTAGAAGGTGCCCCTGGAGGGTCCCAGGGATGGGTCAGGGTGGGGGTGCCCCCCGCACCACCCATGTCCACGTCTGCCCCAACCCACCTGCCCTTGGGCCACCACCCGGTGCATGGCCCCTCTTGGCCTTGACCAACCCAACCCTTGGCCTTGACCAACCCAACCCTTGGTCCACCCAGGACTTGACCCACCAGCCCTTGGCCCACTCATGTCTCCATTTATCTCTCAACCCACCCAGGGCTTGACCCAATCAAGGCCTGATCCATTATTCAGCCCACCAAGGGCTTTACTATTTGGCCCATCTTGACTTCAACCAACCCAGCGCTTGGCCCAAACTGTCCCTCAGACCATGCAGAGCTTGTCCCACCCACCCTGGGCCCATCCATCACTTGACCATTCTAGTCTTGACCCATCAGGGCCTCAACCCACCAGACCCTTGGCCATTTCAGCCTTGGCCCATCAGGGCTTTGACTCGCCAAGGTCTCAACCCACCCAATCATCATCCCACTGAGCGAGGACCCACCCCAGGCTCCCAAACACGCCAGAGACCCCCGAGCCTCCTCTCTGCGGGCACTTTGACCCCTCTTCACCCCCTTTCCTTGGCGGGTACCTACCGCAGCAACATCTGGCAGGCCTTGCAGGACGTGGTATCCTCAAAGGAGAACATCTGGAACTCATGCCCATCAGCCAGGGCGTGCTCAGGGAAGATGTTGGAGCTGGGGAGAGATGGGGTGACCTCCGGGGGGCTGCATGGTGCCACGCATGGGGCAAATCCCACCCCCTGCCCAAGCTGGGGACCTACAGAGCCATCTCGAACTGCTCCATCCACTTCTTCTTGAGCTCTTGGGTCTTGAAGAAGAGCTCGTAGCCCTGGAGCCCGGCTGTGTCGA